TCACAGATAATCTGAATAAACACCCAGCGCAGGCGGCACGAAAAGATGTTTCAGGAAAAATGTGTTATGGATACAAACCCTTTAAGATTTTCACTGCTGCTGAACTGGGCACCTGACAAAATGTAACCTCAGTTTCTGGGAGTGCCCCAGCTTTCTGGAACAGGAATAGCATGGATTGTCATGGTTAAAACAGAGAAATGAAGTTAAGGGCAGCTTTTCAGTGTGACCAAGACCTGGTTCATCCTTTGGGGTGAGTGGGTGGATGGTTAAGCAGAGCTTCAACCAAGTGTCTAATCTCCTAATTTCACCTAATTTGTAATTATTTTTTTTTTATCGTTTCTCTTTTCCTTTTTTCCTTTGTGTGTCTGGGGTTGGGGAGGGGTCAGGCTCAGGCAGTCACCCCAACATGCTTCCCAGCACGTGGATGGTTCACAAGGAGAAGCAAACGAGCCTTCTGAGTGTTAATAATATCAAAAGGGAGTGAAATCTCTGCTCCTGCCTCTGCTCTCCTGGCCCTGCACGGTCCTGAGCTCTCACATCAGCTCTGGCACTCAGTGAAAGCTCCCCCAGAAGAAAATAATCTGTATTTTTCTGCTCTATTGGTTCCTGCAGGACTGTTGGGTTTTATCAGCTCACAGAGGAATGAAGCACCAGAGAAGGAAAACAGAAAGTGGGGGGAATATAAAGGAGGAACTGAGGGGAAAATCCCTCTCCAGGGACACAAACCCACTGCTCCACAGCACATGGGATGCTGTGTCCTGCTGGGAGGCCCCAAATCTCCCCTAAACAACCAACCAAAGGCAGCTGCTGGATTTTAGGAGCTCAATTGCACCTCACTTGTGCCCCTCTGAGCACTGCAGAGCTCCAGGAAAACCCTCAACTCCTTCAGGAAACCAGCCCAGCCTGTATTTGCTTGTGATGGGTGACCTGGCAAAGGGGATCTGCTCCCAGTTTGCCCAGTCAGAGCCCACCTCTGGCACTGGGCTGAGCAGGCACAGCCCAGCACCCACTGTGGCTTCTGAAAGGACACGGACAGCCCAACACCCCCTTTGTGCCACCAGAAATGAGGTGTTTGCAACAACCCCCCATTTCCTTGGATCACGGGGAAGTCTGGATATTCAGGCTGGATATTCCCTTGCCCAGGGAGGGGAGAGGAGCAGAAAGCAGAGCCGTTCTGGGAGGGTGTTAATTATTAACCAAGAACAAGAGCACTGGCAGGGCTCTGATGAGCTCACACGAGGAGGACACGCTGTACAGCACCAGGGTCCCGTGGAAGCTGAATTATGGACTCAACATGCTTTTAATTACAGCTTTAGCCAGGTACTCAGGGTTCTGGCACAGCAACTGCAGCCTGAGATTGGGGGTTATTTTTATGATATGTTTTCACCAACACTTCCCCATCTCCCTGTCACTTCCCTGCCTTTGCTTTTGTTACAGAACCACAGAATCATGGAATCATTGAGGCTGGAAAAGAGCTTTAAGATCACTGAGTTCAACTGCCAACCAGCACCACCCCCATGGTCACCACTGAACCACGGCCTCAAGTGTCACATCCACAGATTTTTTTTCACCTTCCCAGGGGTGCTGACTCCACCACTTCCATGGGCAGCCTGTTCCAATACTTTCCAACCTTTTCCATGAAAACATTTTTCCTGATATCTGATCTAAACCTCCCAGGTACAACTTGAGGCCATTTGCTTTTGCCCTGCCCTATAATTCCGGAAGAATCAGCAGAGGGGAGAGGTTGTTTGCTCTTTATTTTAAAATGAGTATCGTCTCTTCTTTGACATTTTGTGAGCAGATGACACAGGGGATCTCAGCTGGGTCCATCTCCCTCCACTGCTCAAACAAAGAAAACCAGGAGCTCAGCCCAGTTATTTGAGGTATCTGTTGGGTGTTGACATGGGCTCACAAATAACCAGAGAAAGGCAGAACATTCCTTTCAGATTTATGGCAAAGCTCTCTACAGCCCAGTGTTAGTAGGAAGCTCAATAACTTCTCCTCATTTTAGATTTAGGCCAGGTTGGACAGGGCTTGGAGCAACCTGGGCTGGTGGAAAGTGTCCTGCCCATGGCAGGGGGTGGAAGGAGATGAGCTTTAAGGTCCCTTCCAAGCCAAACAGTTCTGTGGTTCTGGGATTAATTAAATTGCCATAATCTGTGATGGCAACTGCACATCTGCTTCAGAAATCTGTAGCTTCCTCTTTGCCCACTGAGGAACAAATATACAGGGAAAACCAGCTCAAAAATAACAACAATGGAAAACAGGAGCTGGACTCAATGGTCCCTGTGGGTCCCTTCCAGCTCAGGGTGTTGTATGATTCCAGCAGAGTTTCAGTGCAAGGGGACAGTAATGAAGATCACACACGAGCTCAGGGAAGTGGGGAGCTGACCTCAGCTTTACAGTTGTTTCCTGGGGGTGTTACATCCCCTGGTTCTCCCTGCTGTTCCCTCTCTGGAATGTGTGGAGAAGGAGAGCAGAGTATTCCCCCAGGATCCAGCACAGTGACATTAAAGGCTGAGGTGCACAGATCATGAAAATAAGAAGCAGCTGAGTTCACCCTGTTCATGGGCTATTTGTAGAATGCCTAACCCCAAATCAACTTGGTTTTATTGCAACAGGAATGTGGGGCATTGCCAAGAGTCTCTGCTGCTGCTGACACTTCCACTGGGATGTGGATGGTTCCATGGCCTGGAGTGAAACTGGACCATGTGGAAGTCAACATGCCAATGACCCTTTCTCCATGCAGAAACCCCTGTAAAGAAAAACCTCCAGCAGAAATTCATCTTTTATGGGGCTGTCTGGGGCTTTTGGCTACAGAATATGGAGCCACAGGACACACATTAACAGGGGATAATTGGTTAGAGAGGGAAAATATACAAGAAAAAAATAGATTAAAAATGAGGACCACTGAAAGATAAGAAGGAAAAGGTGTTATTTGTCATGCACTAGAACTGTCTCTACAGTATCAAAGTGACTGATCTTCTCAGGCACAGGGTGGGACTCTTGGGGATGGTCCCATGAAGGAGGGAAGAGTTGGACTGGATGATCCTTGGGGGTCCCTTCCAACTGAGCACATTCTGGGATTCTGTCACACAGAGATAACAGTCTCTGTCTTCAGAGGGTCCTTCCATCTTCCTGGTGCCTTTTCATCACCTTTTCATTCAGATACAGAATCATGGAATGGTTTGGGTTGGAAGGGACCTTAAAATCATCCAGTTCCACCCCCTGCCATGGGCAGGGACACCTTCCACCAGCCCAGGTTGCTCCAAGCCCCGTCCAACCTGGCCTTGGACACTTCCAGGGATGGGGCAGCCACAGCTTCTCTGGAGAACCTGTGCCAGGGCCTCCCCACCTCACAGGGAAGGGTTTTTTATACCCACTTTCCTTCCCTGCCCAGTAGCTCCAGGCCCACCAGGAGCCTGCTGAGCCCTGTGCTCACACCTGAGCTGGGATGTTCATTCCCTTCAGCCTCTCCCCAGGAATTATTCCAGGCAAGGCCATCAAACCACTCTGCCAAAAACAGGAATTAAAAGCTTCCCTCCATGAAGAAGAAATTCTCCCCATCACCACTAACAAAGGCAGACCTGGTGCACAGAGCTGCATTTTTAAGAGAAGATTCATATTTATCTAATATTCATATTTTGCCCTGAGCAACAAGAGGCTTTCAGGAGAGTCAGACACCAAACACATTTGAATCCAGCACGAAGGAACAGGAGCTTGCAGGCTCCTGGTTTTGTTTTAAATCCCCTGGATCATCCCAGTCACCGTGGGCTGACCCCAGTGTGACAGAAGGAAGAGGAGATACCTAAAGAACTGGTGTGGGCGCTCCCTTTAAATCATAAATCAGACAAGAAACTCTCCTTCTCAAAGCAAAAGGATGTTCCATGAATGGCTTTGACCAGTTATTGATCAGGACAATTATTCCTGGATGCAGCAACAGCAAAGAGCAGGACACACCCACAGACCTTCAATGCAACTGCAGTGCTGCCTCCCTGCTCCTGCCACAGCTTTGAGGATGAAAATAATTACAAAATAACACAATTTTGCATTAATATGTTCTTTGGAAAAGACTTTTCCTTCTCTGGTAGCTTTAAAAAGGAAGAGCAAAGGTGGAGCACTGAAAGGCTTTTACCACACAGCAGCAACAACTCTTTTTTCATCCCCTGCTGCCAGAAAAAAAAATCTAGATCTTTATACATCTGTAGAGTCTCAATCACCTGCCTGATCTGAGAAGAAATGCTGTGCAAAATGAGGTGCCAGAGCCTAAGAGCCTGCAAACCACTGAGATGAGCCGGGTTGTTCATTCCAGATCAAATTTCCCCACATGCTGGGGACGTTCCAGCTCAGCTGCAGACTTGGCACCTCGATTCCTGCAATGGTCCAAACCCAAAACTCACATGCAACAACACCAAAAACCTTGGCTGACCCCTGAGGTTTGAACATCAGGACACCAGTGGGTCCCCAAAATCCAGACATTGGTTTAAACAGGGAGAGATTCAACAAACAAAACAAAAAAACCACGAAACATCAACACCAAAAAACCAAATTATAAAAAAACACCTGAGATCTTTCAAATGCCTTTAGCTGAGGTTCCCCTTCCCCTGTGCTGCAGTTACACCAAGTGCATTATCCACACTTCCATGTCCAGTTCCAGCATTATTCTGGCACCAGGGGGTTCCTGGTGGGGGTTCAGGGTGACACAGGAGTGTTGGCTGCACAGGCCCAGGTCAGTGGAATTCCAAGGAGTCCACTTAACACTTGGGTCTGGATTCAGAATCGTCTCAATTAGTGATTATTCACCAGCTTATTCCCATCCTAAGGCTCTACAGTCTTATAGAAATATCCCACTTCAAGCAGGGTGGGAAAAGTGGGAAGAGCGACAATGCATGGTGGGATGTATCACCCAGCTCTCCCAGTGACATCTTCCCACTAAAACCAACACATTTTCCCTTTTCACACCCAGGTGGGGACAAACAAGTCATTGGTGTCCTTCTTACCCTGATAAGACGCCCAGCACCAAGTTGAGCATGAAGAAAGAGCCAATGATGATGAGAGGGATGAAGTAAAGCCAATTCCAGGTATTTCCTGCAGCGTCGTTTGTCTGGAAACAAAGAAAAAGGGAGAGACAAAACCAAATATTAATTCACCTCAGAAACAAAACACCACACAGAACCTGCAGGGCAGAGGGCAGGAAAGAGTCCCCTTGGATTTCCTGGGCTCATCCACCTCTGGTGGTTGGTTCTGGTGTGTTCACCAGCTCAAATACCAGCAAAGGAACTGAAGAACCAAGTGATTGTCCCACCACCCACAACACGATTTGTCATCAGCTCCCAGGAGAAGATTCATCTGATGCTTCTGGACATGACCTGGATGAGGGGATCGAGTGTCCCCTCAGTCAGTGGGCTGATGACACCAGGTTGGGTGGGATGGGGATGTGCTGGAGGGCAGGAGGGCTCTGCAGAGGGATCAGGACAGGCTGGATCCATGGCTGAGGCCAGCAGGGTGAGGGTCAACAGGGCCAAGTGCTGGGTCCTGCCCTTGGGTCACAACAACAACATGGAACACTCCAGGCTGGGGCAGGGTGGTTGGGAAGTTGGAAAAGGCTCTGGGGGTGCTGGTGACAGCCACTGAATGTGAGCCCAGGTGTGCCCAGGTGGGCAAGAGGCCAATGGCCCCTGGGCTGTGCCAGCAACAGTGTGGGCACAGGACCAGGGCAGTGCCCGTCCCACTGGTGAGGGCACCTCCAATCCTGGGTTCAATTTTGGGTCCCTCAGAGCAAGAAAGACATTGAGGGGCTCCTTCCAGGGCAGGGAACGGAGCTGGGGAAGGGGTTGGAGCAGCAGGAGCAGCTGAGGGAGCTGGGGGGGCTCAGCCTGGAGAGGAGGAGGCTCAGGGGAGACCTTCTCACTCTCTGCAACTCCCTGACAGGAGGGGGGAGTCAGGCTCTGCTCCCCAGTAACAGGCAATAAAACAAGAGCAAATGGCCTCGAGCTGCACCAGGGAAGGTTTAGGTTGGACATCAGGAGGAATTTCTTCCTGGAAATGCTTGTCCAGCCCTGGCACAGATGCCCAGAGCAGTGGTGGAGTCACCATCCTTGAAGGGATTTAGAAAATGCCACATGTGGCCCTTGGGGACAGGGTTTAGTGGTGGCCTGGGCAGTGCTGGGGGATGGTGGGACTCCATGACCTTAAAGGCCTTTTCCACTCTAAGTGATTCCACAGTTCTGTGAGTTCCACAGCTCCGGGCTGACCCCGCTGCGGGGCCAAGAGGCATTTTTAGGTGACCTGACTCTGCGCAGGCTTTTCCAGCAGCCTCTTCTCTCCCCACCTCAACCCTTCCCGTCAGCATCACATTTCCAGGTGAACTGAGGTGGCACCGGGAGGGAACCACGGCCCTCCCTTCATCGGGGCTGCAATTAAGGCCAGGGTGGCACCGTGCCCGGAATGGGCACACACAGACAAGGAGTCTGCAAGAAAACCAGGCATCTTCCAGGGATTGCAGCTCCACAGCTGCTTACTCAGCACTTTCCTGTCGCCAAACTCCATCCTCACTCCCTGAGTAAGCACCGGAGAGGAGGGAGGGGAGGGAGGGGGTTTTAGGGTGTGACAAAGTTCCCGCATTCATCAACCACCAGGGAGCTCTTCAGGGAACTGCTGAGAAGGAAAATGCCACGTGGGCATTTAGTGAGTGCTCAGGAAAATGCAAATCCCTCTCTTGTGAGTGAAGAATGCGGCAACTGGAGAAGCTGGTGTAGAGGAAGGGAATAAAAGACAAGCGAAAAGGAAAGGAAAGGCCCAAAGAAAGGAAAAGGAAAACGGAAAAGGGAAAAGAAAAAGGAAAGTAAAGGAGGAAAGGGAAAAAAAGGGGGGAAAGGGAAAAAAGGGGAAAAGGGGATAAAAAGAAAAAAGGGGAAAAGGAAATACGAAATACAGGGGAACAAAAGGGATAAAAAGAAAAGACCCAAAGAAAGGAAAAGGAAAAGGAAAAAGGAAAATAAAAACCCAAAGGAAAAAGTAAAAAGGAAAGTAAAAACCCAAAAGGAAAAGGAAAAAGGAAAGGAAAGGGGGAAAGGGGAAAAAGGGGGAAAGGGAAAAAGGGGGGGAAAGGGAAAAAGGGGGGGAAAGGGAAAAAAGGGAAAAAGGGGATAAAAAGAAAAAAAGGGGAAAAGGAAATAAAGGGGGGGGAAAGGGATAAAAAGGAAAGACCCAAAGAAAGGAAAAGGAAAAGGAAAAAGGAAAGTAAAAACCCAAAAGGAAAAAGAAAAAGAAAAAGAAAAGGGAAAAAGGGGGAAAAAAGGAAAAAGAAGGGGGAAAAAAAGGAAAGACCGAAAGAAAGTAAAAGGAAAAGTAAAAGGGAAAGTAAAAACCCAAAAGGAAAAGGAAAAATGATACTAAAGGGGGGAAAGCAGGAAAAGGGGAAAGAAATGAAAAAAGGAAAAAAAAAAAGAAAAAAGGAGAAAGGGGGGGAAGAAAAACAAGGGGAAAAAAGGGGCAAAAAAGGAAAGAGCCAAAGAGAGTAGAAGTAAAAAGGAAAGTAAAAACCCAAAAGGAAAAAGGAAAGAAAAGGGGAAAAGGAAAAAAAGAAAAAAGAAAAACAGGGAAAAAGAAGAAAAGGAAAAAAGGGGGCAAAAGGGGGCAAAAAAAGGAAGAAAAGGGGAGAAAATGAAAATAAAGACACAAAGAATGCAGGGAAAATGGGAGTAGAAACATAGGGAAAATGGGAGTAGGAACACAGGGAAAAAGGGAGTAGGAACACAGGGAAAATGGGAGTAGGAACTCAGGGAAAATGGGAGTGGGAACACAGGGAAAGCTCTGAGCAGCCCAATCTCCCACTATGGTTTTGAAAGCCTTTTACAATCCCTGCCTTCCTCTGTCTTTTGAGGTGAATCCCAGAATATCCTGAGTTGGAAGGGACCCCCGAGGATCATCGAGTCCTGCTCTATCCCACTCCAGCAGTGCCAATTCTTCATTCCCTGTTTTGTTTTTCCATTCCCCTCTTTGTTTTCAGCTCTTTCCTTTCCTTCTTCTCCTGCACTGCATCTCCACAGGTGGGTTTGGAGGAAACAAGGACACTCATCCTCATCCTGCTTCCCCAACACAGGAGGGAAGAAAGAGCCAATGATGACGAGAGGGATGAAGTAAATTCCAGGGATTTCCTGCACAGAGAAAAAGGGGAAGTGGGGAAGTGCCTGGGAATGATGTCCTGGGATTACCAGAGCAAAGCCAGGGTTTATATTTGGAGGCTGTTCTTTGGTTCCCATCCTGTCAATGGTTGGAGCAAGTGGATCCCACTCAGTGAGGACTCAATGATCCGGGTGGGTCCCTCCCAGGATATTCCCTGGTTCTCTGAGGCCTGGAATTGCTGTCAGCCACACAAGGGGGGTGCAGAGCCAGCCCGTGAGGAGGAGCTGGAGGAAGGAACAGATGGGAAAAGGGAAACCACATAAACATGCAAAGGGAGTGCAGCAGGTCCAGCGCTGCCAGAGGATCGTTTATCATTTATTTATTTATTCATTTGGAGCCCAAACTTGGCGACAGATCCACAATTCTGTGCCGCCATCAAAGCCCCTAAAAATGAAATGTGCTGAAATACAGCTAATTAACCAGCCTTCTCTGAGCCTCTGTTGGGTTCCCTTGTGCTCAGGGCAGGGCAGGGACCTGCTGTGCTTGCTCTGCCTCTCTCACAGGGATCCAGGACAAGCCAGACTTTGTAGACCGTGACAAACACCAGGCAAAAGTGTCGACAGAAACCTCTCCTGAGACAGCAGAGCCTTCATGGATGTGAAACATCTTCCTCAGTGCTCCCAAACGTGTTTGAACCCAATCACAGTGTAGAACACATAGTATATGCTACTGTGAGATGCTTTAATGACTCAAACCTGCTTCCTACCAGGAAAAGCAAACTCCTCTCCCCAGGGAAAGACCTCAGAGGCCACAGAGCCTGCCCTGAGCCCTCCACCCACAGAGCCAGCAGGGTTTGGGCTGTGGCCCAGCTCCAGGCTGGCTCATTAAGCAGGACAAGCCAAGAGATCAAATCAATTTTTTGAGTTCCAGCTCCAACATTTCACTGGTGGAAGGCCTGGCTGGCTCTCAGGGTTACCTGAGCCTGACCACAGGTCTGACCCGAGAGGGAGGCAGGAGAAATTAAACACTGGATGTGATGTGCCAGAGTTACATCCATGAGGGTTCTTTCACTGCTCCTGAGCCTTCTGGGTAGAAAGAGCAGCAGGGCCTTTCCCAGCACCCCCTGAGCAGTGCCCACACCAAGCCTGGCTCCAGGAGCATCCCAGACATTGGGATTGAGAGATCAGAGTCCCTTAAACCTGAGAGCACAATTCTCCCAAAGCAAGGTGCTGCAGAGGGAACCTGAGGCATCTGAGGGACACTTTTGGGGTCACAGTGAAGACCCAGAGGTCTGTACCTGAAGCGGTTAAAGCCCATACAAGCTCTTGGGCCCCTGGAATGCTCTTCCCAACAAGCCCAGCTGCCATGGCTCCCTCTGCCCAACCTCTGCTCAACTCCCAGCTGCTTCCACCCCCTGCCCTGGCACTTGGATCAAGGTGCACCCACCATGCTAAGCCTGACCTAAATCCCCCAAAACACCCTTCCAGCCTCTTCCATGGCACTCTGCTCCATTACCCACCCTGCAGCCTGCTGCCTGTGCTCAGCAGCAGTGCCCAGCTCACAGCTGGATGCCAAAGGACAACCTGTACATGTTGGCTTTTAGCACCTGAGGGCTCTCTCCTGCCTTTGCTGCAGCCCCCAGAACATTGCTGGCACCCCCAGAACATTGCTGGCACCCCCAGCAGTGCCAGCACAGCCACCCCTCAAGGTGCAGACCCCGGTGGGTGAACAGGGTCATTTATCATGAGTGGAGAAGCTGAAAGGCTTCTGTCCTGCAGGGAGATGAATGCTCGGAGCTCCTGACAGATCCAAGAGAACAGGGGGTGCTCCAGCAAAACACAAGTGCCACCACCAAGCCTTTTGTGACTTCTCCAACACCAGGATTGCTCCTCACTTTTGTCTCTCACCCCCAGAGCTGTGGGGCCACTGCTCCCTTGTGCTGACAAGATGGCAGCTGTGTCTAATTATTAATTCATT